CAATGGGGGATTTGTTACTTTGTCAGTAGAGGGTACTTTGCAGGAAATGTTTGGGAGGGGCCTGAGAATTAGGTTTCCTCCATTTGTCTGCTTCTTCCCAGTCTATTTCCTATCTTTTTATAACCAACTTCTACAAAGGTAGAGAGGACATGGCTTTTCAGCAGGGTGAATTACCTGATCGTCAGCCGTCTCGGACTGTTGGTTCCAGGCAGCGAGGACCTCTCTTAAAGATTTGTGCTGTTCTGGGCCGGCCCGTGGCTCACTCAGGAGAGTGTGGTGCTGATAACACCAAGGCCATGGGTTCGGATCCCACATAGGGATGGCTGGTTTGCTCACTGGCTGGGCGTGGTGCAGACAGCACCAAGCCAAGGGTTAAAATCCCCTTACCGGTCATCTTGAAAAAAAAAAAAAAAAGATGTGCTGTTCTGTTTCTGTGTGCAGATGGGCCAAGCTCCCTTTCTTGTAGGAATTTAACGAAGGCCATGAGAAACAACCACATGTTCCAACAGTCGGAAATTTTTCTGCCAATCCATTCCCTGAAGCTCTAGATGTGGGACTAGAGTTCTCACAAGGAAGAGAGGTGCTTTTATCAGAAGAATTAAGATGTGCAAGCTTCCAGACACAGAAACAATATCTTTCAGAATCTACTCCACTCAGCAACTCTTTGATATGACTGGACAGCATTCAAACTGGGTAGAGAGCTGGTTGCAGTCATTCTGCAGTGATTAAGTTAACAGGAAGGATTTTGCTTTGAAAATATCTAAGTGGCTTTTGGCAACGTCTTTTTCTTCCCTCAACTTAAGAGCCAATATCGAAGGAGAGTTTGAACCTTTGAATTCAAAGCACTGGAAAGCTCTGGAAGATAACAGAAAACCCACGTGGAGTAGAAATTCTGAAGGCAATTCTAGCACGTATTTATCTATGTATGAAATTTACCCGTGCTGTGCACTCATCTCTGTCTTCTTTCCCCCAAAATTTCGGAGACTGCTATTTCAGAAAGTAATTTGGAGAGAACTGGAATCCGAATTAGTCCTGAAATTGTTCTAGTTAACTCGTGCCAAGCCTCAACCCCACCCTGGCCTTTTCCCAGTGACAAATGATGTTATTGACGTTNATGGGAGAGGATCCCGGTGCATTTCCTCCAGTGCCTTTCCTAAGAGGTGCAGCAGGAAGGAGCTCTGCTGAGTGCTATACAGCTTAAATCTTCTACTTCACATTGGCAGGGTTATCCAGGCAGGGGAATTGCCTTAGGGTTTGACAGTCACAGGTCCTTGTTTGCCAGGCTTGGGATTTCCCTGGCAGTACAGTACATTTCTTTAAAACCATCAGGCAGCCAGCCAGTGGATTTGATTCCCAGGAATTCCATTTGTTTGTAGCTAATACCAGAAATCTGGTCAAGTTTATGAACTTTGAATCTGGACCTCTTCCTTGTGGTTCATGATTCCTAGCAACAGGCTGGGGAATTATGCCCTTAGCCCACAGTATCACTTTAACCCCTTACATCCTGTCCCCTACCTAAGAGCAGCATAAAACAATAGACTGTTGTAGTGAGGAAGTGCTAGTGTAACCTTGCTGCCCAGAGGATTCCAGTGGATGACACTTTACAATGGGGGATTTGTTACTTTGTCAGTAGAGGGTACTTTGCAGGAAATGTTTGGGAGGGGCCTGAGAATTAGGTTTCCTCCATTTGTCTGCTTCTTCCCAGTCTATTTCCTATCTTTTTAT